AATATTCTAAATTGATTTATTTTAATTATTAAATTTAACACAAAATGGTGGTTTAACTGCCCTCCTTTAGTTCAAATTGCATAATAATTATTTATTAATAATTATCTATTTATAAAGCAATTATTTATTATGACATCATCACAAGGCTAGGCTGTAATTTTTAATCACATTTTTAATTTATTTAATTTAAAACAGTAGTTCTCAACTGGGGGTACATGTACCCCTAGGGGTACGAACATAAATCAAAGGGGTACATCTAACTTTCATTATAAAATGGCGTATGTTAATCAATTTTCTGTAAATTATTAACACAAGAAATAAGAAACGACAAAAACTTGCTTTAAAATATCCCAGTGTGAACACCGATTTCCCTTTTAACAGTCTAAACAACTTGTTTATCCACTTGATTTGCTTGTCTATTTGTGTTGTTAGTGCTGTGTGAACCTGTAGTCTAGTAAAATTACGGTTTAACCGAGCATTAATTTTAGAATAGAAAATTTTTTTTTCTATTCTATAATTATTGATTGATAAGATTGGGGCTTTTCATGTTTTTACTAGACTACTGGTATTAGGAATAACAAGGTCTGGATCGTATCCCCACCATGCAATGCGTGTCACTGCACGAGCACATTACTTGATATTTAGCAAATTTAGACAATGTTATGTTTGTTACAAAAATTGAAAGATTCATGTATTGTTCTGCACGTTATAAATTTGCAGCCATTACTTTCAAGGTCAGTACACAATTATAATCTCTATTTAACAACGTGGGAACCAAATTTTGAAAAAAATGCTGAAGATTTATAGCAACAAATATCCCATTAAATTTTGTTTAAAATTATTGTAGAATAATTTAAATTTTCTTTATTGTTAATTATAATTATTTATTTTTAGGAAATGTAATTTATGCATGTATTGAAATGACTTCTGTGATTTTATATAATATACTTATCAAATAATAATAAATAAATGTATGTACTGTACCTGATTAAATTTATTATTATTTACGTAAAATAAGTAATTCACTTTTAGTTATAGTTAGTTAGTTAGTTTTTTTTTGGCGCTCAGTTATAAGGGCTGTATACATCTAACGCAGTAATTATAAAATTTACATACAAAAATATAAGGGGTACTTGAGAAACAACTAATGGGATAATAGGGTACATCAACAAAAAAGGTTGAGAACCACTGATTTAAAATATATGCTCTCCACCTCAAATTATTAGTAGTGTCTTGCCCCTGTAAATCATACTTTTCCTTTAATAATAGTTGTGACAGTCATTTACTAATTGCTTTTAGGAGAAGTTTTGAATTGAAATAATGTGACTTCCGGTTTGGATCAGACATTCATATGTAGTTAGTTAATTGGGGCCTCCAGCTCATAAGGTTTCGATATCTGGTCTCTGATTTCATCTGTAACTCCATTCTTGAGATTAATTAAGGAAAGACAGAGGGAATTTATAGGTCTACAATTTTTTCAAATTGCAGCCCAGTTAGCCATATTATAGTCTAATTAAAATCCACTGGTATCATTTGAGATAGGATATTATATAATTATTAATTAATTTAATTAATTTTAATTAAATATTGTGTTTGATGTTATATTTGTATCTTGTGTTGTTTAACTTGTTGGACAATGGATTTAAGGCTAGACAGAATTCAGAATGGACTTATAGAATCTCACTTTGTTTTATTAATGTGTGTGTTGTGAAGTCTGAGGTATTGTGCCATTCTCCAATATTAATATATATTTTATTAAGATTGATGAAATAGAAATTGAGCTAACTGATAATTTTGTCATCCAGTTATCATTTGTATTTTTGACATTTAATGCAATCTTATGGTTCTGTTTTAAGCAGTGGCATGCCATGACATTTGATGATAGGGAAGCTGCGTTTATGTAAAAAGCTGACTTCCAGGGGCAATCAGTTAATTGTGCTTCAGTGATTGTCTAGTGTCCATTTGTATTCGTTTGTTCGATAAGCCAGTAAAAACCGTAGACTTCTTCAAATGTATTTTTAATATCACAGTTACATTCTGAATCACTAGCCATGATATAAGGGCTACAATTAAAAATAAAATAGTAAAAACTTACTTGGTAAAATGTGTGGTGGATGTACCTATACATACCTGGTACAAAATATTCTTCAATTGTATGAATATACTTTTAAAGAAAATTATAATTAAATATGGCTTTGTAAAGAAATGTACATAAAAATAATATAAAATAATATTTACTTTTTAAATTTTAAAACAATCCACTTAGTCAAATAGCTCCTTACGAGTGGCCAATGGATGGAATCAAAGTAGGTTGCAGTGTGCATTACACGTGGACTGCCAAATCCCGAGGATGCTGATACTGGTCAATGTCAAATACCTCTTTTGTGGCATCACTAGTATACCTCAAAGAACATGACAGGATTGTTGTAAAATTTTAAACATTTCTCTCCATAGCTGTAAAACTCTAAATATGTTAAACTTAATAGATTGTTTGTCATTTGTTATCTAACTAATTTGTTTTAGGACCAGGTGTCCACGGATATGTCCAAAATTTACTTTTCAGTCACTCTTGTTGAACTGGAAAAATTCTGTCTTTATTACATCTAATATTACAAAGAAATCAGTCCCCACTGTACTTGGCTAGAGATTGATTTGGCTAAGCTTTTTTTAAAGTAAAATTCCAGCTTTTTCAGCAGGGTTTTTTATGTCCCTAATTCCCTAATCTCTTAATTATTAAACTACTTAAGTAGAAATAAGTTGAAACTGGTTACTTCATACTTGAATATTTGTAGTCTTGGGAAAGAAGTGGAAAGACAAATTTTTATGATAACGGATACATAAATTCTAGAGCTTTTTCTGTACCTTGTGTGTCTCATTTATTAAATTTAGTTGTAAATGATGCTGCCAAAGTAACAGTTAATTTTTTAACATTGTACAAGAATTGTACATGTTTTTTTTCTACATCCCCTTAGAGATGGGATATACGAAATTGTAATATCACTGGTTTAACATTGAAATCTGTAAGTAATGCAGATTTCAAAATGGGAGAGCAGAATAAAAACAGAATAAAAATATTAAATATTTTAATGGGTTTTTTTAAACTCCTGTCAACTATACAGAACTATCATAAAAACATACCAGTAAACTCCTATTGATTGGGTTAAGTTATAAATCTACTTCAATTCACATAATGGGGCAAGGGCGGCCAAGTATCTAGCAGGCGCTAACAGCCCAGAACCGGACCTGGATAGAATCATTAGAAGCATTATACGATATTTTGTTATGTAGCATCCACCAGCTAAATTGCGAGGTTGGTGCTCTGTAAAGCACATGCATGAATGCATATAATCTGGCTTCTTGGAAGCTGTCCTGTGTTCTACAATGCAGCGCTTCCATTCCACCACTGATATTCGAATTTACAATAGCAATCTTGTCATTTTTTTTCACATGTAGTATAGAAATTTGTAATAAGATACATAATGTGGTTATAATAAAATATTAATTTTNTTAACTTCTGAAGTATAATTTTTTATTGTTTTTATATTTTTCAATATATTTATTTTGTTTGTACAAAATAAAAAAATAATTTTTAAGGATACAATAGTCTTTGTTAGTCTTAACATTGACGAAAATTCAATGCAAAGCGACACGCAATGGAGAAAAATTTCAACGTGTGATAGGTTAATATATTTTTTCGTACATAATCGGTTATCCAAAATATCGATTTACCGAACAACCCTAGTCCCCAATTGATTCAGATAATTGACGCTCTGCTGTATATGGAATAAATATAGGTATAGATAATATAATATTATATTGCCTTTATAGGAATTTTTATGCATGAAATACAGCTAAACAGGTTAAAAGGAAAAATGAGATTTTGTTTTCGGTGACATGAACGGATTAATTCATTTTATATTGTTTCATATGGGAAAATTTTTTCTGGTTTTAGAACAAATAGGTTTTCAAATAACTTTTAAGAATAAATTAAGTTTGAAACCGAAGGTTTGACCTGAGTAGTAGTGTTTTATATTTTTAGTTAAAATTATAAAAATAAACTGAAAGAATGAAAATTTTGAATGTTTTAAGAGTTAAATTTATAAATTTTAATCAGATTACTACCTTTTGAATTATTATTCACTTTTGAATTAATTGTCCAGAAATATCTGAAACTATCTGGGTATATTTTTAAACATTTCTTGTTGTAAGAACAATATTTTTTCCTGTTGGTGGTGATTATTTTTTGATAACATATTTAAGAAAATTAAAAAAAAAATTTTTTATGAAACTGATTGTTTATTACATTAAAATTTTAAAATCTCATAATATGCTTTCTATTTTGATAATAAAAATTAATGAAGTATTATTATTATTAATTCTTATGCTTCTATGTCCTTACTATATTCAATTTTAATTATATCTTTGTCTATTATACACCAGTATAATAAGTCCTACTAATATACTAAGCTCGATGTAGACAAAGATATAATTAAAATATTATTATTATTTTTACTTTGAAAACCCTGAAAGGATAAGAAATTTTAAATATTGATTTTACCAATCTAACTTCTGCTATTTTTATGAAATTTTTATAATATATTTAAAGATAAATAATGTATTCTTTTCATCTAGAATGATTTTCACAAAAGAATTATTTAGTGATAAAATGTTATGAATAAATTAAAAACATAAAAATTACAAATTGTATTTTATATTTGTATATTGGAAAGGAAACTCATTTTCAACTCCTTTTATAGCTCATACTAAATTTATTTTATTAAATTGTTAAATTCCGAAAAGATAATAGCATATTTATCGTAATTATGGAATATTTTGTTAGCAAAAATGATTTTTTGTACATTTTTAGGTTTTTTTTTAATTAAAATAAATAAGATCTTTTATTGAAATAAATAGTAAAATGAATTGTACATTTAAAAAGAAAAATTACCTATTTTAAAATTATATTAATATATTGTTAAATAATTTTTTAGTATTTTATTTGAATATTAATTCTCATGAATTATTATTATTATTACTATTTTTTGTTTAAGATTATAGTTTGGAATGTTAGCAAGGGTGAAGTAGCATTAACCATCAACTGCCATTCTGATTCTATTCATAGTATGTCATTTAATAGAGATGGTACATTGTTAGCCACAACATGCAAAGATAAAAAACTGAGAATTATTGATCCAAGAAAAGGAGAAATTATAGAGGTAGTTCTTGAATTTTATATTTTACTATGATTAAATATATTTAATCATACAGAAAAACCAAGCCTAAATTATTGTAATAAGCAAATGATGTGGCTTGTTAATTATTCTAGGATTATTACTAGGCTATAACTAGCCTAGTAATAAATCTGGCTGTATCATTTAAATGAATATATTGCTTTTATATTATTTTCCCAGCTGTTATAACATAACATGGGGAAGTATTGTAACTACAGGTAACTCTCGTATAACACGGGAGTTACGTTCCAAAAAATTGCTGTGTTATGCGAATCCGTGTTATACGAAACAAAGAACTAGTGCGAAAAGGGGGGTTAGGTTCCAAAAATTAAAAAAACATGCTGTTAATTAAATCCTTATTTAAATCAAATTTATTATTCATTTTTTTCACAGGTAAAATACTTATTTATTATTTAAGTAAATATTTTACCAGAGGATTATTCATCCTATATGATGATCTCAGCATGAGCATCATCAACTGGTAATAGTTTTTGGGTGCATTCATTAATAGCATTCGCTCTACAACGGGAGTGTGCTGCTGTTTGTAGGTATTTAGGAACGATGGTGAAAGAAAGATGGCGGCACCAGCACTATCAATAGTATCGTGATGGAGAAATCTATAATTCTAAAATGAGCTTTTAGAGGTAAAAGAAGGGTCCTAATTGTAAAATTTAACCATTAAATGAATTATTTATTGAAAGAGCATTCAAAGTAGTCATGAAAACAATTAGAATGCTTGCGCGGAGTTATGCGGAAGTATAAAAGAACACGCCCTTTATTACATTTTATGTTGTACGAGGGTTTTACCCAATTCCCAAACTGTGTTAGAGTGAACCTGTGCTATAAAACCATCGTATTATACAGGGGATGTTCCCAGTGGTGTAGCATAGTGGGGGCGGCAGGAGCGCCTGCCCCAGGCGGCACTTTTAGGGGGCAGCAAAATTTCACAATAAATAATAATAATATCTTGTAAAAATTTTAACNTTAAATCCTTATTTAAATCAAATTTATTATTCATTTTTTTCACAGGTAAAATACTTATTTATTATTTAAGTAAATATTTTACCAGAGGATTATTCATCCTATATGATGATCTCAGCATGAGCATCATCAACTGGTAATAGTTTTTGGGTGCATTCATTAATAGCATTCGCTCTGCAACGGGAGTGTGCTGCTGTTTGTAGGTATTTAGGAACGATGGTGAAAGAAAGATGGCGGCACCAGCACTATCAATAGTATCGTGATGGAGGAATCTATAATTCTAAAATGAGCTTTTAGAGGTAAAAGAAGGGTCCTAATTGTAAAATTTAACCATTAAATGGATTATTTATTGAAAGAGCATTCAAAGTAGTCATGAAAACAATTAGAATGCTTGCGCGGAGTTATGCGGAAGTATAAAAGAACATTTATTACATTTTATGTTGTACGAGGGTTTTACCCAATTCCCAAACTGTGTTAGAGTGAACCTGTGCTATAAAACCATCGTGTTATACAGGGGATGTTCCCAGTGGTGTAGCATAGTGGGGGCGGCAGGGGCGCCTGCCCCGGGCGGCACTTTTAGGGGGCAGCAAAATTTCACAATAAATAATAATATCTTGTAAAAATTTTAACCATTTCATTTCATATTTTTGTCGCACCTACGATTCGGACCAATTGAAATGAGCACGGAATTTTTCATTACTTATTCTGTGACGAAACTGAAGTTTAGTCTTTTAAATTGAGATACCTGAATAAGGGGGCAGTGAAATTTTCCTCCGCCCCGGGAGGCTGACATCCACGCTACGCCAATTCTTGAACTGTGTTAGAGTGAATCCGTGCTATAGAAGTGCCGTGTTATACAGGAGTTACCTGTATGTTAAATTTGACACTTGGGTTTTTGCAAATCTCAATGTTTTGAGATTATCTGAATCCAGAAAAGAAAAAGAAGGGGAAAATTTTCCCTATGTGTATAGGTGTCTATTTCATTTAATATTTCAGGATGGGGTAAAGATTAAGAAACAAAATTTGGCATAGTATGTTGTATATAAGAAACATTGATGCTGTTAAATTTTGGAGTATGGAAGTCAATGGGAAATAGAATGGGTCATGGGATATGTCTAAACTGGGGTAAGATTTAATGAAAATGATTTTATTCATATGAGTTCTAAGTTCTTTTGAAATGATGATTTTGTCATTTTTCCAAATTTTTCCAAAATAGTGCCCCAAATTTGAGGTAAACTTAAAAGTAAGGCCTTAATCAACTATTTATAAAGTCTAGAAGTTACATAAATATTTAGCTGCAAATGTTTTGGCTGTTTTTATGCCATTCTCAAGCCATCATAAACAACTAAATGAAGAATAATTTTATTAAAGATAAAACATCTAGCTATGTATAAAAGAAAAGACTGATAGAAAAAAATATACATACAGTGGAACCTCAATATTTGTCATTAATCTGTTCCTAAGGACCTAATGAATATGGAATATGACGAATATAGAAACAATTTTTCTCATAATAAATAACTGATATTCAATTAACCTATTCCCATCCTGGAAAAAAGGTACAAGAATAAAAATTATGTTGTTTTGTAAAACATTACTGTATTTATTTAGTACGATAAAGATATTGTGGTAGCAGGGGAAGAACAGTATTATTAATATAGTATTATTGTTTAGAAGAAGACATATCAATTAAAACATTAGGCATTTCCAATTATGATCATTGGGTCTGTTTTGCTGATGATTCAGTAGCACTCGATTTAATAAAGAACTTGTCCAGTGTTGTGTGTTTTTGGCTGCTTTTTAAAACTTTTCTGAAGTAGGCAATTACATTATCATTGAATGTATTTGTATTTTGGTTGACTATAGCAGTGTTCTGCAACCTTTCACTATTTGCAGCACACCCATGACTCAACATGGCACACCAAAATGTTATTCCCCTCAAAAATGTATGATATGATACTATTAATAGAATTATGTAATGCCACTAACCTATTATTATTGTTATTAAACTGACATCAACATCTGTGAGCAAATTTTTTTTACATATAATTTCTTAAAATACATAAAAATGCATGGCTTGTAATAAAGAATAAACAAACATCATCTTATTTCATCAGTTCTGTGGCAGAGAATGAAATACAAGCTTAAGAAACACAACAACTGTGATAAAAATACATAAATAAAACTTGAAATTAACAGAATATGTAAAAGTTCACATCACACCTTTAACCATGTGACTGCACACCAGTTGTGGAACACTGGACTATAGCAATATTTAGGTTCCACTTTGTAGCTATTGGAACTTGGTTTCTTGCATTGATTATTTTTCAATAACTGAACAACACACAACTGCACAAAGCAGACTGATTAACTATAGCTAGCTAACATGGCTAGCTGATCGGCACGGGTGTGCGTTTGTAGTGCCACTTTCAGTGTTGGGAATGCTGATAAATACAGAAAATACTGACGAATGTGGAAAAATAAGTCATCAAAATGTGACGAATATCGAATATTACGAATATAGGGGTTCCACTGTATATACATTTATTATTACAGTAGAACCTCGATTATCCGGACTAGTTGGGGATGAAGGTAGTCCGGATAAGGAAAAATCCGGATAATCGAAACAAATACTTTAATTTGTCTTTTAATGATAATACAACACGTTTTCTTTTCGATGACATATCGGTAATATTAAAAATAAATACTGTATTTAAATCGTGATCAAATTTTCAAGAAACAAACGTTCGTATTGAATTTGGACTACTACTGACCAGAGCTAACAGACTACCTATTGTCAAAATGCCCTCTGGTGGCGCAAGAAGACGGATTTTATAAAATAAAAAGTAGTTGAAACTGCATTTTTGTGAATAAAAACTTTGACAAACTATTTATCGTTTTATGACGAGTAAAATTTTTTCGTTGCGTTCGTGGCTTTTAAGTAATGCATAATCCTTCAAGTCGCGAGGCCCTTCGGACCGCGAGGCATAGGCGTTGGCCCGCGTTGTCCATACGTCACTCTTGGTCATAGAAATGATGTAATTTGAATATTAATTATTTATAAATACGTATGTCAAATTATATTTTTATTACGAAGCAAAATATATTTAAGAGTTTACGGCCACTGTGCCGGGTGAGACGTTGTTGAAACAAAAAAAGTTATGCATTCCATCACGTACATAAACAGTATCATAATTCGCCAAGTGCAAATCAGCAAATTCGTAAAATTTTTGTTTATTTTGAACAATCCGGATAATAGAGGTCCGGATAATCAAGGTTCTACTGTATTAATTTTTCTATCAGTCTTAAGGGTGTGTGTGTGTGTAGAAATTAGTAGGAGTAACAGGACTATTAACAGAACATATATTTGAACCTTTAATGGTTGTATATTAACTTATATTCTAACGTTCAACTATTTGCAAGCTTTTCTTTTTTTTAAGTCAGTCTCTCTGATGGCGTTGAAGTCAGTAATGTTAGAGTAATGGTGTTTTTTACTATTGTTTCCAATTTTTATAAACTTTTGCAATTAATGTTTCAAAAATGTGTCCAAAATGAAATAGTAAATCTAGCAGTGGAGATAAATGCAAAAAATGTTACTCTATTACTATGGAAAGTAAACTTGACATTATAAAACTAAGTATGTTAGGTGAAAACAATGTTTGAAACACTTGCTACTGAGTAGTAGAGACTGGGTAAATGAGCATAATGTATTCTATTAAGTACATTGAAGAATCAAACACTAATAATATGTGGTTATTTTGTATGTAAATGTACTTTTTAGGTTAATTTTTGATATACACCAAAACCTTGGGAACCTAACCTGTTCATAAGTAAGGGAGCACCTGTATAAGCATATAATAAATAAACATAAGTCACATATAATTACTGGTCTATGTAAAATTATCCATAATTTTACCATCCTGCAATTAGAAATTCTAAAGGCGGAACCTCAATATTTGTCCATTGTTTTAAAGTATTTCATGATGAAAATGACCTAATTTTTTGTAACATTGTTATTCCTACACCTTTAACTGAAATCAATCTTGTTTCAACTGCTACAGTCAATTTAGGAGTTTTTCATTTTTCTGTAAATGTTACTTTGGTGTTTGCAACATTATTCGACATAATCCTTCAACTAATAATTCTTTAATATTCATACACATGTAATAAGTAATTCTCATATGAGTAGATAGCATTCATTCTGGAAGATTATTATTATTTTAAATTATTATCAGTTAACATTAATTTATCAATAAATTCTAGATTATTTTAATTTATTTCAGTATCATTCCAGGAGGGAATCTGTCATCAGGGATCGAAAGCATCTAAAGTGGTGTTTCTTGGTGATACCGGAAAACTTTTTACAACTGGATTTTCTCGTTATAATGATCGACAGTGGGCAGTTTGGTCCCAAGTAAAAATATGATTATTAAATTTACTTAATATTTGAAATTCTGATATAAAAATTTTAATTAAAAGTGTATTTTTAACATGGGACTTAATATATGACTTTGTTTGTTAATCAATAGAAATATTTTTTTAGCATGATTTGAACAAACCTTTGAGGATTGAAACAATTGATTCTTCTTCTGGAGTTCTGTTTCCATATTATGACCATGATACGAAAGTAGTATATGTAGCAGGAAAGGTATTGTATTATTACAACACATTTTTTAAAATTATGGGTTAGCATATTTTGAAATTAATATTCTCTTAAAATTAACTTCTATATTGATCTATTTTAGGGTGATGGCAATATTCGCTATTATGAAATGGTTAATGATGCACCATGGTGTCATTATTTAAATCAATTTTTAACTGGTTTTCCTCAAAGAGGATTAGGATTTATGCCAAAACGTGGACTTGATGTAATGCACTGTGAAATATTTAGATTTTACAAACTACATGCCACAAAAGGTGCCTGTGAACCAATATCTATGATTGTTCCAAGAAAGGTAAACAATTTTTTTTTTGTAAGTAAATTACTGTTTTATTAATAAATTAAAGTAGGAATAACAATCATATGATGTGTATGTTCAAAGTGTCTGATATAAAATTTATTTTTGTGTATAATATTTACATAGTAATAACTTGTAAATATTATATGTATTGTGGAACTTATTATCATGAAGTGAACATTTTTATTTACATAACAAGTAAAACAGCAATGCTGTATTTGGGACAAGACTGTGTCTCGGAGACTCACTACTAAGCAGGATCACTTTGATGCTCATGGCATGTCTTGTTCTCGCTCTCCACTCTTCTTTGGTATCGCTGGTTTTGAGCATGATTGTTCAAACTTTGCTGGCCTCGGCCACAGCCACCACGAGGTCGTCCACAACGCATTTTTGGTGAAATTAACCTATCCAATGTCAAAATTTTTCTCCATTGCATTTCGCTCTGGAGTGAATTTTTGTCATTGCCTAACAAAAATTTCCCGTTTTTGAAAAAAATAATCATGGCTATTGTATCATCTGAAATAATTTTTTTATTTTGCACAGACTATATATATATAAAGAAAAATATTTCTGAAGTTAGTTTTAATATAAAATTATAACTAGTGCCATCTACTTTCAAAAACGTTCTGATGCTGAAACAAGATATCATGGGTCAACTGGTCAAGGTCAGCATGTCGCAACCATTGCATGTTATTCCCAACATTGATATGTTGGGAATAACATGGGATCGGTAAATGGGTTTTTCAAAGATTCGAGACTCATGTCAAAATTTGATTTTGCAATGTTTGCATTTCCAACTTTCCAACAAGCAATGCATGTGCAAATCTCACACTAGTGCCTGTTTGTAGAAAGAGTGTCGCTATTTTGTATTTAATTTTGACTGTTCTCAGTCCCCTGAGTACCTACAATGTGTGCATGATTTGGGCACCTAATACTGTGTGCCAAATTGCAACTCCTGATATGTACTCCTTCATACCTCTAAGCTGGTACGCCAGTACAGTACTGCAATTTTATAAACAAGACATAGTCTTGTCAATAACTAGTAATAATAAATAATAGATTACAATCATCATAGTATTATATTATGACTCTTTAATATGAAATATTCCAAAATCAGAACAACAAATTCATTCTGATTATATAAATGACATTAAAATTATGATTTAGTTTCAGTTTATATTTATTTCAAATTTTTATTTTGGTTTTATATTCAGTTTATCATTATTCTTTTTCAATCAGCTTTTTTAAAATATATTTTGAAGTATTTATTTCATTTTTTAAGAGACAGTTTGAACTTTAAAGTTTGGGTTCATTACATTTCTTTAAATTATTTAGTCTACAGTGTAGACTAAGGATGAGGATGCAGAGGCAGTCTTCACTAGATCTGGTCTAAAGTAAAAAGTGACATCGAGCTAAAAGGTTAAACACCATAGTTTAAGCTTTATTGCAGAGACAAGAATTGTTAGTCTGAACTTGGTTTAAGCAAATTTCAAGGATGCTTCAGCTATTATGTTTATCATTGTTATTCCTAGCTTCTTTGCATAAAAGCTAAATGCTTTTTAGCTTGTTTAAACTTTTTGAATGTATGAAAACTTGATAAAATTTCTATGATATTGTTTGTTTACCTGAAGAGGGCCAATGAAGCAGCAAAACAATTTTTCTATCCAAGAAACTAACTGCGGTAATAGAAGTGTAAGATAATTGTCATATATTGTTCGAGTTTCTGAGATATTTTTGCTAATATGTTTAGTGTTCAATTAGCATAACCATCTGCACTTGATTGAGTGAACTAGAAGCAACACAAATCTCTTTCAGATTTTGCATCTTATAGTTAATCTGTAATTTAAACATATAATTTTATTTGTTCTGTTCTCTATATTTAATTCCATTCAAAGAGAACTTAAAATATATATCACTAACTATTGATGAAAAAATAACCTATAATTAATTCACAATATTGCAATATTAAATTTATTATTTCACAAATGTTACATTATGACAAGAAAAGAAAATTTTTTTTATTTTTTTAGTCTGAACAATTTCAAGATGATCTTTATCCTGACACTAATGCTCCTACTCCTGCATTGACTGCTGAAGAATGGTTAAATGGAAAGAATCGCAATCCCATTTTAATTTCTATGAAGGTAATTTTATTAGTTTTGAAACAGTCTTTTTGAGACATCATATAAATGATTAATATAAAAATAACAGACTATTTTTATAACAGACTGGTGCTGGTGCTCGCACTCACAAACCTGTTATATATAAAGCCGATCAACATCGACTCTTGACTTCAGACAGAAACAATGAGAAAAAATTTTTATTTATTTCTCAGGAGAATAATGTTGATTATAGACAATATATTTCTTTAAAAAATAAAAATGCTTTAAATGTAGAAAATTCAATAGATAAGTAAGTATTAAATAATACTTTATTAAATATTTGAAATTATGAATAATTTACATGTTAATTTTTGTTTTTTCAGTGTAAGTCAACATCATTTTGTGCCAATTAATAAGAGCAGATTGCCATGGTTACAAGATTCTGCAGATGAATGTTCCGAAAATGGTGTAACTGTATGTGATATTGTTTCCAGTCATACATTGCCAGTTGCTACTTATGTCACTATACAAGATACAGATAGTGCAAGTGATCCAGAAATGGAACCAGATGGACCAAAGACAGAATTAGAAGTTAGTAAATTATAAGTTTACTTTAAAAAATTTTGACAGCTTATCATAACTGTTTTTATCTTTGAGAGTAAATGTCCATTGGCTTTTTATATATATAGTATATCCTTCAAAATTTCTTCCATTTGTCTTAGAACTGAACTGGTTATTGCTATCAAACTTTTATGCATTTTCTTCTGTAATGCTTTCAATGATCCAGATCATCCTCAAAGTTCTTGATGCAATTATGATCTAGGCTATAAATTGTCTCTAGTCTATCTTTTAGATGTTTTTATTTTATACTAAGAACAAAGGACAATTTTTCTTAATATAAAATAATTGATTGAGTTGTCGATAAAGATATAGACCCATCTTAAAATAACTATAGACCGTCATGCTGTTTTCAGTATCTTTTGAATTGTATCTTCTGCCTAATGTAATCCTGCACTCTTCATTCCTGAGCATTTGTGGGATCCAAGATCACTTATTAGCTCAGAAAGCCAAAAGAAGAGCTTTCCATTGAAGTATGCATCAAGAACGTTGCATATAATTAACTAGATACTATTGTTAAAGTGATTACATATTTTCATATGGTTGCAGAGTCTTGATAGCCCAACTTATAGTTAGCATTTCCAAATTCCCAACATTTTGGAACCTTCAGAAATTAAAAATGGAAAATTGTATTTCCTGAGAATTTCTGAAATAATCTTTTATATTTATTCTGTAAAAGTTCGTCCGATGGAGAATTATTTTTAATAAAATAAAAGACAAAACTGTCCAAAAAGGATCACCATTTATTACTTGTGTTCCAAGACTAAAACATTTTCGGCGACTGACCTTCCTTTTTAGGCTACTTGTCGCCGTAAAGTTCACAAAAAGTCCTTTTAAAAACACAAAACATCCAATTAAAATTTTATAAAATTTCTGAAAAAGGAACTGGTGACATGCAGTTGTCTTGCTTCCATCATACCTTCTTTTGGGGTTTTCTTCTTCTTTTTATCTACTAAAGAGTAGCGCTGGAAAATGTAGATTTTTAGAGAAGTTGCCCCCTGGTGACGATATATGTAGAAATTTCTTCTGTAAAAGTTCGTCCGATGGAGAATTATTTTTAATAAAATAAAAGACAAAACTGTCCAAAAAGGATCACCATTTATTACTTGTGTTCCAAGACTAAAACATTTTCGGCGACTGACCTTCCTTTTTAGGCTACTTGTCGCCGTAAAGTTCACAAAAAGTCCTTTTAAAAACACAAAACATCCAATTAAAATTTTATAAAATTTCTGAAAAAGGAACTGGTGACATGCAGTTGTCTTGCTTCCATCATACCTTCTTTTGGGGTTTTCTTCTTCTTTTTATCTACTAAAGAGTAGCGCTGGAAAATGTAGATTTTTAGAGAAGTTGCCCCCTGGTGACGATATATGTAGAAATTTCTTCTGTAAAAGTTCGTCCGATGGAGAATTATTTTTAATAAAATAAAAGACAAAACTGTCCAAAAAGGATCACCATTTATTACTTGTGTTCCAAGACTAAAACATTTTCGGCGACTGACCTTCCTTTTTAGGCTACTTGTCGCCGTAAAGTTCACAAAAAGTCCTTTTAAAAACACAAAACATCCAATTAAAATTTTATAAAATTTCTGAAAAAGGAACTGGTGACATGCAGTTGTCTTGCTTCCATCATACCTTCTTTTGGGGTTTTCTTCTTCTTTTTATCTACTAAAGAGTAGCGCTGGAAAATGTAGATTTTTAGAGAAGTTGCCCCCTGGTGACGATATATGTAGAAATTTCTTCTGTAAAAGTTCGTCCGATGGAGAATTATTTTTAATAAAATAAAAGACAAAACTGTCCAAAAAGGATCACCATTTATTACTTGTGTTCCAAGACTAAAACATTTTCGGCGACTGACCTTCCTTTTTAGGCTACTTGTCGCCGTAAAGTTCACAAAAAGTCCTTTTAAAAACACAAAACATCCAATTAAAATTGTATAAAATTTCTGAAAAAGGAACTGGTGACATGCAGTTGTCTTGCTTCCATCATACCTTCTTTTGGGGTTTTCTTCTTTTTATCTACTAAAGAGTAGCGCTGGAAAATGTAGATTTTTAGAGAAGTTGCCCCCTGGTGACGATATATGTAGAAATTTCTTCTGTAAAAGTTCGTCCGATGGAGAATTATTTTTAATAAAATAAAAGACAAAACTGTCCAAAAAGGATTATCATTAAGGATCACCATTTTGGACAGTTTTGTCTTTTATTTTATACTTTTATATTTAATTTTTATTGATGATCTGTAATAATGACTAAGCTTCTTTTGTGTGTTATTTTCAGGTCTTGCGTTGAATGTAATTTGATTAAGTTTTCCCTAAGTAAACACCAACTGACAGTTTTTTCGAAATAGCTTAAATTATTAAATAATAACTCATAATATTAACGCATTTGTAAACGAATGGGTAAAATTATATAAGATAATGACAACGCTCATGATGAGGGCGATCAAGGGAGGTAGTATGTGATGACTGATGATTTGGTGGACAATGTATTAAAAATTTATTTTTTTTTTATGAACCTAAGATGACTGTTCAAAAATTCTGAAAATGTTTTAATAAATAAAACTAACAAAGTGGATCAGTTGGTGCGAGAAAGGTGTCAGTTTACAATTTCTGAGCTCAGTGAGGAGTTTCCTCAAATTTCAAGGTCCACACTGTATATTGCTGACTGACAGTGTTAAAGGTTGGCTGAATGGCCTGACAGCAACGTTCTTCGACATGAGTATACAAAAGCTGGTGTCACAGTATAATGTCTGTCTGAACCAACAAGGCAATTATGTGGAAAAATAGGTGAAGACTGTAACTATTTTCTACAAATAAAATGGTTTTGTTCTTCATTCTTGTTTTTTTTTTTTTTTTTATTCTGGGTCAGTGGAGGTTGGAAAAAACCCCTCGTAATACGGCTTTGGAGATGCAATATATATGCTGGTGCTATTCATGTGAAGGTTTCATTTAAGTTTTAACTTTTTAAACTTAGGTTATGTGCTGCTATGGGTTATCTACATGAAATTATAGTAAATAAAATATTTTGATTAAAAATTTTGTTTTTCATTATTTTATATTCAATATTTTAGAGTTTATTACAATCAATTTTTTGTAAAAAGTAAATCAAATAATAATAAAAAAAATTATATTTTAAAATTTAATTTTTATATTTTTAATCAATTAAACATTAATCTTTATTTTACCTCAAAATCTATATTAATTATTATTTATTGAATTTTGCAGTTACGAAAGGCTTATAAACGTCAGAATACAGAAATTAAATCTCTTAAGGAAACAATAAAAACAAAAGACAAAAGAATCAGTGAATTGGAAGAACAGTTGGAAAGGTTAATAACAAAATATGGACAGTTATAAAATACATCACAACTCTGATGCTCACTTTTTGGTTTTGGCCAGTAATTGTTTATATGATGCAAATGCATAGCTTTTCTTTTATTATATGTAAATAGTTAGAAGTCCAAAATTTATGGTCTTCTCGAATCTGTGATCTAATATTCTTATCACTTATTCATTTACACAACAAAATTTCATAACTAAGAAAAATTTCTCATTATCTAAATTCTGACTCTGTTAATATTTGCAATTCCATTTTTTTAATTGAAACTGTTTTATTAAAATATGTTTAGATTTTTGAACAGTTGTTTATTAGTTCATAAATATAATTAACCATTCAATTTATTTTTTTTATGAACCTAAGATGACTGTTCAAAAATTCTGAAAATGTTTTAATAAATAAAACTTACAACTTTTTAAATAGATTTATCTGTCTTAATTGTTCCATATATTAAAAACATATGTCTATTTAAACAAAATAGTGACACTTTTTTATAATATTTGCTTTATAGAGCAACTGATTTTTAAATATGTTTCTAGATACCTATTTCCAAAGATTTATAATAAAATAATATTATATACATAATATTTCACAATTCTGTTTTAATATATTATTATAGATAATTTTTTTTATATATTTTTTATCACTTTTGCTACTGTATTTATATATTAATTGATATTGCCTTGCTATTCACTATTTATATTTATGTAATACTGTATTAGAATTTTTATTTAAACTTATACCAGATAAAAATAGATGTAAGTTTATAATTGATAAAGCTTCATAATTTACATATCAACAATATAGAAAATAAATTATACAATAGATTATGTAAGTTTTCTTCTCTGACTTTTTAAATATGGTATAAGAAGAGATATTGTTAAAATGATGGCAGATTTAATAAAAATTTCTCAATGTTCACTCTAATGGCAATGTATTGTCATTTCTGGTAAATAGAATTATTTTAATAACTATGCATACAAAAATATTCATAAAAGTTATGACTATAAATATTCTATTTTATTGAAAGTGGAATATTAATTTTGCATGTTTCAAAATCATAAAATAAAATTTTTGTTTTAGTGTTTTAAATTTATATGTTAAACAAGAGATTAATTTTTTTTTTTAACAAAGATTATGCTGTAGTATTTCTCCAAATAAGAATGAAGCTGATGTGCTAAATCTTGAATGTACATCATTTTGCCACTCATTGTTTAGTAAAGCCTATTTTATTCAATAAAGTTGAATAAAATAGAACAGAATAAAACTTCAAAAATTTAAACATAATGTGACCTATAAAATGTTTTGCAAAACTGTCAGAAATTTCAAATATATTCTAACTGTTTAAAGATATAATTTAATACAATATGTTCTACTTTATAATGGGCACAGAACTATTTTCATCTGTATATATAGACTAATAAACATTAGCTTCATTCTTATTTTGGAAAAGATTATAGAATGAAACAGTTAAGAGCAGCATTTTTTAAAAATGATTTAACAGTATTTATACAAATTGTATTATTTATAAGGTATGAATATTTAATAATGATGATAAAGAAATTTTATAAAATATTTTTTGCACATGAATTATTAATGGAATAAAGCATTATCTTATTATTATTGAATTATAAAGTTGAATTAATTTCAGCACTATGTGAATGTTGTACTCTGTAATAACTGTTCAAAAATTCTGAAAATGTTTTAATAAATAAAACTAACAAAGTGGATCAGTTGGTGCGAGAAAGGTGTCAGTTTACAATTTCTGAGCTCAGTGAGGAGTTTCCTCAAATTTCAAGGTCCACACTGTATATTGCTGACTGACAGTGTTAAAGGTTGGCTGAATGGCCTGACAGCAACGTTCTTCGACATGAGTATACAAAAGCTGGTGTCACAGTATAATGTCTGTCTGAACCAACAAGGCAATTATGTGGAAAAATAGGTGAAGACTGTAACTATTTTCTACAAATAAAATGGTTTTGTTCTTCATTCTTGTTTTTTTTTTTTTTTTTTCTGGGTCAGTGGANAATTGTCAGTAATATGAAATAGCAATATTGTTTGTATTCTCCAACTGAAAAGATGAAGTCAAATCTTTGAAAATAATAATTTAGACTTATTAATCTTGCAGTTATTTTTATTTTATGTATTTTTTTAATACTTTGTATAATTTTATTTTGCTAAAATTTCATTAAAATTTATATAATTTTAATTAGATTTCAGCATAAATAATTAAAATTATTTAAAATTTTAATGAAATTTTAGAGTGAATGTTTAAGGATGTTCTAACTTTTTAAAATATTTTCTAGAAAAAAAATATATATATAAATCTCTTGTATTCTGCTTCAAAGACTTTTAACATAAAATAATTTGTCTTCAAAAAAAAAAACAGCTTTTTCACTTTGTGAAAATTAAATAAAATAAAATTATTCAATTTCTATAGAAGAGACTGAGTTTGTCAATAATTTCAACAAAATTAAAATAAATTGTGCATGTTTTACTTTTAGTTGCAAACTAAAGAAAATCGATTAGAAAATAATAATGCTAAAAATATAAATTAAGTTGTTTTCATCTTATTTTTGGGTAAATCTCTTATAACAAATATACAGCAAATGCTGCTTATTGTAATTGTGTTGGGACATGTCAAAATGATCATAACTGATGATTACAATAACCAAACAAAACAAAAAAAATAGGAAATGAAACACACATTCTATATGGTATCAAGTGATAAAAAATTCATTTATTTTTGATTGATCAGTTTTTATGCACTAAATCCATAACATCCATAGAATATATATTGCATGGTATAAGCATTTGAAATTGTGGTCTGCATTGTAAGACTTCCAGCTCTTGCTGAATTTTGGCATTTGCTGGATGGTTAGTTATGTTGACTTCCTTGTCACTTTCTTCAGCCACATCAGTAGTGTATAAATAACTTTCCAATACTAGGATATAAAAAACACATACAAGATACCTGTACTAACATACTTGAAATTAACATATTTTTACTATTGTTTTTATCTGTTTATAACAAACATCTTCAGGTATATAACACAGAACAAAATGAACACATTAAAATTGAACAAGCTTTTATGAACAACTTTTAGTTTAATTTAAAATTATTTCTCAAACTAATTATGTCTAAAATTTAATTTTTAAACTTTAAATGTCTTGGAGAAGTCTACTGTTCTTTTTGCAGTGATAATATATTTTTGTAGTTTGTATTATGCCCTGATCTCAAGGTTGGATGAATGATGTATCGGCTGGCAAATACTTGACTTTTATGCAAATTAAGGTACTTGCCACTTAATATGCTACATAATTGTCAACCAGCAGTAGGATCTTGCAGTTTAGTTTCTTTCCCCAAATCAGCAACCAGTGGTTAAAAATTGCTGTTGTCATTCAGATATTGCTATTAAATGATGAACAGTCAATAATGCTCTTATCCCCATAAAACAGCTAGGCTTTTTATCTTTTCCTATCACCAAATTGTTTCTTCCTGCCATTCTTGCACAACAATCAGATGCTCTTTGGAAATCTTACTCTTGTACTCATTTATTTTTGAATAAGTAAATACACTCAGGCATAGCATGAAAATACAGGCTAGTTTCATCATTATTTTATAAACATTTCAAGGTGAAAATTTAGGGAGGAGTTATTGGAGAATTTAGGGATGTCACTCTTCTGTTAGCCAATATTTTGCTGAAGAGAAATCTGCATATTTTTCTTCTCCATGCATCTGTTTGTAATGTTTTTGTTTTTCCAGTGAGAAAAACCCTCTTATCTGTCAGATGCTGTAAAATTTTCTCTTCATTTTTGTATCAATCTTCAGCTTTCTGATAAATGAATGGACCATTAATTGGCACACCTATCTCTCATACTTCCATAAACTAAAACTTCAAAGTGGTTTTTATTCCAAATATTTTCCTCAATGATGCCTTTTAGTTCTGTATTCTCATTAGATCATCCTCTTTTTCAAAATGTTTGTTCTTCAGAAACAAGCACAATAAAGGCTCAGATTTTCTACTGGACTGCATCCTTTCTTTGGCTCATTTTTGGGAGGAGTTGTTGGTATTATGGGATGGAGCTTATTTTATACTGTAAACTTACTGTTCTAAATAATGTACAGAAATCAGCTGTTATATATATATAGAGCATGGTAGTCTATAGTTCCAGAATTTTTCCATGTCTTGTCCATTTGTGTAAATAACTACTTTCTAGGGAGAGAGGAAAACTAAAGCTGGTAACATGACACGTGTGTACAATATCATGTAGAGATGTCTGAAATAACTTACACTGGTATTGCCAATACTTAGTTTATTGTAAACTGATTGCATTAACTGAAGCATTGATCACATTTAAATTATGAATTTTGCATAGAAAATGTATAGTCTGTCAGAGAAACTTGATATGATCAATTATTAAATTTGCTTTGGAATTAATGGATTTAAGTATTCAAAAAGATAATTGATTTTCATTATATAAGATATTTAATATTTGAATATTAAGATGCATTTGGAAATTTAATCTAAATAAATTAATAAACTTAAGTATGTTGAAGAAAATTTTCACAGAGAAAGAAATGAATATTTTAGCAATTGCATGAAATATAATATGATTATAAAACTTATGATAGTTTTTTTTAAACAGTTATGTAACATTTATTTACTCAACTTTCAGAAATATATAATTTAGTAAAACATTCACATGTACTGTACAATTTGGTTCAGTATAAGGAATGCATTGTATAAAATTTACATATCAGTTTGCAATATCTGGTTAAAAACCAATATGTCATCTTATATTAAAGATATCATTTAGTTTATCTGTGCAGATATGTATGAATGGTATGATAAAACTCCAAAAAATATATTTAATTGCATGCTTTTTATATTTCAGATTGAAATTATTTCATATGATAGTACAATAAATAATAGGCATCAAAACTATAATGTTCTTAATAAATTGAAATATTAGTTTGGCTTTATAGTACATCTTTTAAACTTTTCTTTTAATAGAGTAAGAAATTGTCAGTAATATGAAATAGCAATATTGTTTGTATTCTCCAACTGAAAAGATGAAGTCAAATCTTTGAAAATAATAATTTAGACTTATTAATCTTGCAGTTATTTTTATTTTATGTATTTTTTTAATACTTTGTATAATTTTATTTTGCTAAAATTTCATTAAAATTTATATAATTTTAATTAGATTTCAGCATAAATAATTAAAATTATTTAAAATTTTAATGAAATTTTAGAGTGAATGTTTAAGGATGTTCTAACTTTTTAAAATATTTTCTAGAAAAAAAATATATATATAAATCTCTTGTATTCTGCTTCAAAGACTTTTAACATAAAATAATTTGTCTTCAAAAAAAAAACAGCT